CTAGATTGAAGAACAAGACGACAGCAACTTGTCTGTTCCCCTTCCCCCAATTCCCCAGCACTGTTCCCATTCCCCCAATTCCCCCAATAAAAATCTTTAAAAAAAAAAAGATTTTAAGCAGAGGAGCAATTGCTCAGGGCTGTTTTGTACAAGATCACCCTCTGGAAGAAACGTCCACCGGAAGTGACATGGGCTGAAGGAAAAGGGGAAGTCGGGCCATGGAGGGTTCACACACGGAATCCTACAGCAGCGTAGACTGATGGTAAGAAGGAGGTCCCATCCCCTCAAGGCTCCCAGCACTCTATTCACTGTCTTCATCAGCTTGTGCTAGCACATCCAAGTTAGCATGGAACTTGAGGATCTCCCTGCAGCCACCCCTTTTGTCCCAGCAAAGGGACCAGAGGAACAGTTGGACCTACAAGACTTGTCTGCAGCTATGTGGCCACCAAGTGCCAGAGAGATTTCAGGCAAGCTGTGATCATCCTCACTCTGGTGCACCCCTGGGTGAGCTGCATGGCCATGCCACTGGCCTAGACACAGCATAAAGGACACAGGTAGCAGCCATGAGTGGAACCCATGTCCCTGACCTCCTGCAGTCTCCAAGCCCAAGTACTCTGACTCCCCGTCATTCCAGAATTCCAACTTCCTAAGCCAGAGTTCTACATGGAGGCCAGTCTTCTGTCCTGGCCTTGACTTCCATCCAACGCAAGAGACGTGCTCCAGGGCCCTTCAAGGACATGGGGACATCAGGCAGGGAAGGCCCTCCTGGCTCCAGCCCAGAATCTGGAAACAGGACACAGCCCATCTTTGTTAAGTGCGTGGGGATAACATGAGTTGGGAATGAAATGTTACTTTCCAATACTGAGGAGGGTTTTATCCAACAGAAAAGCATATAAAATGAAACAAAGCACTCTACTATATGCACCCTTTCACCCCTGAAATTCTGGAAAGAAACCAGACTCTCAGACCACTTCAGGCTCAATGCCAGGCCAACCACTTGCTGTGGGACTGGTAACTGGTTCAATGGTAGTTCACTTCCAACCATATCTGGAACCTGCAAACCAAGGGCTCAATGCATCTGGGTCACAGGGGAATACGTTAACCCAGACACGAAGCTCTTCCCAGGCCATGGTGGTGGTGGGGGGTGGGTAGAAGTCTTCAGGACGCAGGCTTTCTTAGGAAGCAGGTGGGGGCTATTGGGAAAGGGCTGGGGCAGAGGATGATCTGTTTCAGAGGCAGAGTGGGCAAGGACTTATTTTAAAGACCAAGGAGAGGGCTGGCCGAGTGGCGCGATGGTTAAGAACTCGCTTGGGATGCCAGAGGGCCCCGGTTCGGATCCCACATATGAGGGCCAGTGACACTGCCCTCCGCAGCTAAGATGCTGAACAACAGCTCAACCTGGAGCTGGGCTGCCTTGAGTCGCCGGCGACGGCGTGGGCTGCAGTCCCTGTGGCAGTGGATTGCCATGGGCTACCGTGTGTGGCCAGCAGCCAGCGTGAGCGGCCAGCAGCCGCAGTGAGCAGCCGTCCAGAAGCCGGCGACTGATCTGCCTCACCTGGGAAGAGCGCAATGATGGTGCCAACTTGGGCCAGTGAAGCAACATCCTCCACAACTAGATTGAAGAACAAAACGACAGCAACTTGTCTGTTCCCCTTTCCCCAATTCCCCAGCACTGTTCCCATCCCCCCAATTCCCCAATTAAAAAAAAAAAATCTTAAAAAAAAAAAAAAGACCAAGGAGATAACGCCTATCAGATCAGCACAAGGTCCCTGGCAAGTCCAGCTTGTTTTACAAACTTGCTGAGCGGTAGGAAACATGGAACGCTCCTGTGGGTTGGCCTCCGCATGTGTAGGATGGTGAGTAGAGCGCCCTTACCTTCTGATTTTTAAACAGCTCTTCGCGTTGGGCTCAGCTGATCATTATATTGTGTGATGTCCCTTATCTAAAGACTTTTATGATGACAGTCTCCTTTCCATACCCTAATGTGTACCTGAGATAGCTTATGATAAAGGACTCCCATAACAGAAAGGTTAAAATAAAGATAAAAGTGTAAATAACACGTAATGGGAGGGGAGGATACATGTAACCATGAGAAGACGTAGACTAAGGATAGTTGTTCCAGATCTTGCTTTGTGCTTCCTGGCACCCGAGGAAAAACAAAAGGAACAGGGTGTATTAAGCAGCTCACATTACCCAGTGAGAGAAGCGTTCAACAAGCTAAACTGCTTCTTTACTGGCCCCAAATTAAAAGGAAGTTTATTAGATAAGCTCTTAGATAAGGAGCAAACAATATACAATAATCCATTGAGTCAACAGACAAAAGAGACAGGTGACTGTTTTTAAAACTCGTACACTGGTTTTGTGGGTCTAACGAGATATGGAGAGAGAGCTCAGAAGGTCAGGGAAGTGGGGGACTTGAAAGGCTCACAGCTCAGCCCAGACACTGACCTGAGAGAGGACCTGCTCTCAGGGTAAAGTGAGATGGCACTGCACCATGCCCTAACTGATAGGACGGATGCCCAGAGCCGCTGATGCTTACCTTTAAGTGGCCAATGACGAACTTGTGGACGAGGTGGTTCCACGTGGACTTCTTGTAGACAGAGAGGTGGCCGTAATCATGTTGTAACCATCCAGCTTGGGCCTGGGGAGAGAGGGTCACAGATGCTTTCACAGCGTCAGCACACAGGCACCAGGCAGGCTTCTGCCAGCTGGGAGAGGTGGGGGCTTCAAGTGACAGGTGAGGGTGTCACACCTCACCTGAGAGGTAGCAAGAACAAAGGCCGTGATGATGGTCGGAATCCAGCCATTGCCAAAGTAAAACACAATGAACCATGCGATGGTCTCCATGACGAAGATGTGGGCGAGGTTAAGGAGGAAGAACAGGTGGTTACTCTTGAACAGGTTCATGTCTTCAGCCGTCTTCCTGAGGGCCCGGAAGTCCTCGATGATCTGGGACTATGGAGCAAGACCACAGGGAAGGTGTCAGCCACCCAGCCACCGTGCACCACAACCGCTGTCACTGCCATGTGCCTGCCTGGGCCTGGCACAGCCCTGTGTGTTTGTTCACAGCCAGTTAAGTGACAGAGAAAGCATTTGTATTTTGCACACCCGCGTCTATAGCAGCATTATTCACCATAGGCAAAAGGTGGAAACAACCCAAATGTCCATCGACGGATGCAAGTCTAAACAAAACGTGGTATAGCCATACAATGGAATGCTATTCAGCCCTTCAAAAGAAGGAAATTTTGACGCATGCTACAACATGGATGAAACTTGAAGACACACACTATGTTCAGTGCAATTAAGCCACACATAAACAGGCTAATACTCTGTGATTCCACTTATCTGAGGTACATACAACAACAGGCAAATTCATAGACAGAAAGTAGAACAGAGAGGGAGGATGGGGAGTTATGTCTAATGGGGACAGTCTGTTTGGGGTGATGAAAAAGTTCCGGAAGTGGACAGTGGTGATGGGTGCACATCGTGAATGTACTTAGTGCTACTGAACTGCACACCTAATAGTGGTTAAAATGGTAAACGTTATGTTATGTCTATGTTACCACACCCACAGAAGCTTGCGCTTTTCTACTACCTCACACTGTAGCACTTGTTCTTGGCACCCTATTGGGCCTTGAAGGGGTGGAGATGGGGAGACACAGAATGGCGCAGGACGGAATTGCTGCATCTGAGAGCTCAGGGAAGGAGGCAGGAGAACTGGTGGGGCCGGGGAGATGGAGGCAGAGTCAAGGATGACTCTGGGGAAATGAGGGCACTGCTGGGAGAAAGAAGGAAGCTGGAAGGCAGGGGCAGGGCAGGAAGGGGAAGGCCGTGGAGAGCAGGGGCTGACGGTATCTCCTGGGACACAGGGCACTTTGAAAGGGCAGACAGGGTGGTGTGTGGGTGGAGGAAGCCAGGTTTGGGAGCTTGGGTGCTAAGTGAAGAATCTAAAGACTGCATCAACCACTGGAGCAGCAGTGAAAGGGGCAAATAGGTGGGGGCTAGAGAAGCAGAGTCAGGAAGGGGAAGCCTGCAGGACGCCGGGGGCGGGGTGTGGTGTGGGGAGAGAAGCCGCCTGCCTGGGAAGGAGTGGAACATGGAGCCACGTGTGAAGGAGGCAGGACCTCAGCTCAGCTCCAGGAGGAATGAAGGCCTCATCAGCCCTGGAGAGAAAGGCAGGAGGAGGGGCAGAGGTGGAGATCCAGCGGGAGGGGAGGTTGGTCTCTGAAGGAACCAAGGAATGGCCTTGATCTCCCTGGGAAGGAGACAGAACAGTGGGGGAACTGGACAAGAGGGGGCGACCCTCTGCCCAGCCTGGCTCTGGTGTGGGGGGTGGGGGAAGCCTCAGAGATGGGGAGGCTGGGAATGAATTACTCCAAATGGGATGCCAGCCCAGGTTGGCAGCAAGGGCTGAGGCTGGCTGCAGAGGTTCTGAGTCCTCCCTCACCCCAGGGGATGGGCAGTGGCTTCCCCTGCAATCTCTGCCTCGGATTGTGCAACCCTCACCCCGCAAACTCTCCCCTCCTTTCCTTGGTGGGCTCTGGGTCTGACTCACGTTCTTGCCTCGGTCCTGGCTGGGCTCCTCTGGGGCCAGCTCGCCGATCAGCAGGGGCTTCAGGAACTTGCGCACATAATCCTGGTCGAGGTGGAAGGCGCGGAAGGCATCCTGCGGAGCAGGCGGGAGGTGGTGAGTTGGTGACCTCGACCCCAGCCTGAGCCTCGGCCCAGGGAGGGCAGGGCTCACCAGCAGAAGCTCTGTGTGCCTCCCACTTGGACACCATCAAGGCCTGCCACGAGCAGAAATTCTCTCTCAGGCCTCATCTCCGGGCAGATCCCTCAGTGCCTCGCTCCCATGGTGGTGCCACCTGGGACTCTGCCCTGACAAGGGGTCGCTGAGCTTGCCAAAGGTGTGTACATGGACGTTTGGGCCGCCTCTGGGCAAGTCAGAAAAATGCACCCCTCCAGGGAGATGCACTGCACTGCCCCGCGGCCTGGGCAGCGGGCTGGGCAGGGCCCCGGAAGGACATGAGTGTCCACATACTCTTTTGTGGGTCCCTGGGACCTCACAAAGTGCACCACCCAGCACACTGGTACTTGGCTATCAATGAAAGGAATAAGGCTGGAGACTACCAAGGCATGGAAAAATGTGCTTAGGAGATCACGTTAACCCAGAAACAAATGCAGAATTAGGTAAAAAGTATTTCTGAAAAAAGTTTTTTCATAATTTGAAAAAGTATGAAATCAATTATGAAAATTATGAAACAAATGTTACGGATGGTTCTAGACTATTAATGTTAAGGTAGTGGCATTATGGCTTGCTTTATTTTTATTACTTTACTAACTTTCACTAACATTTTATATTGCTTTTAAATTTTATTTATTTATTTATTTATTTATTTTATTATTATTTTTTAGCTGAACCATCCTGCCACCTGTTAGCAGCTCAGCTTAGCTCAGGCTGGGAATCGAACCAGTGTTGCTCAGAGCTCACACTCTTGAGCGAGCTCTTAACTAACTGAGCCACTCGGCCGGCCCTTATAGCTTTTAAATTTTTTAAAAAGGTAATTTGTTTTAATCTTTTTCTGATTATAAAGTAATGTGTATAGTTTTGGCAAATTTAGAAAATGTACGGAAGAACAAAGAGGAAAATAAATACCCAAAGAGTGACCACTATTGCTAATATGTTAGCATATTTCCTTCTAGTTTTTTTCCATACGTATTATGCATATTACATAAATTATTTCCTAATAAATACAGCATATCCGCTGGAGATGAGCTGAGACCAGGTCCCCTGATGGGCTCCAGTATGACATCCCAGTGGTAAACAATGTTTAGCCTGCATCAAACCAACTTTAAGACATTACTAGGACAGAGGAACAAGTCAAAATTATACTGAAGAGCCACCTCACTACAAAAAATTTAAGTCTCCTTTTCCCTAGTGTTTTAGCTCCCTAGCCCCTGGTTGTAATCATTTTTCAAATCAGTTTCTTAATTGTAAACAGTAGATTGTTTTTAACCTAAATCATAGAAATCTCCTACCCCCTGCTTTACATAATTATCCTAACACTTGTGATGAATGTCTGTTGACTATGGTCATTGTAGCACAGGGTTCTTCCCAGGCCTAACTCCTGGGTAAACAATAACGGAATGGCTGGTTAAACTGGAAGAACGCTGAGCACATATTTCATTATGCAGTCACCGTGCGTCAATGGCTTTGAGTCCTGCTTCTCGGGCCAACACTTTTATCTCTGTTAACTAAAATCTATCTCTCCTCATCTAGGGGTCATGGGGATTCAAGTGATACCCCAACAAGTACCTCCCAGTACCTCCCAACCAAAGAGGTCAACATGGTGGATCTCAAGACTCCTTCCCCTCATCTGAGATCAGAGAGTCCCGTGAATCCCCGATAGGTAGGGACACCAGCTACATTCAGCAGGAAGGAGATACAGAAGAGGAGACCTCCTGTCCCTCAACTTCCCAGAGATTTATGGGGATCACATCTCTCAAGAGGGCCATAAGGCAGGCAGTTAGAGACAGGAATTGGGTCTCCGGGATGCCTGGATATGTCAGGTAACATTCCTGCACGTCCAACCTGGCCTACAGAAAACAACCACCCAAAAGACCTCCCCTCTCCGCCCAAACTTTCCTTTGTTTACCATAACTGTTAGCCATTATCAATCACAAGTATCAATCAAACAGTCCCACAGTTAGAGAGAAGCAGCCTGTTCTAGAAGAGAAGGAAATAAAAACTCCAAGTCCTCGCCAGTTAGCATCTTTTCAGCCACTCCTATTTGCTTGGGCCCCGCTCCTATCTCTTTGGAGTGTACTTTCACGTCTAATAAACTGCTCTTTCACCACTGTATTTCTGTGTCTCCTTCAGTTTTTTGCTCGAGGCACCAAGAACCTAGACACTGCGCCGAGAACGGTGTGTTCTCTGGTAATAAAATGACGCCATGAGAAACAATCAAGAAAAACAGTGAGGGTGTGTGTTTGTGTGATGTCTAGATTAAAATAAGCTAAAAAAGAGATTAAAAAAAAGATATAAAAATTGCGATGCTTAAGTTATAAGGCTCCCATTTAGTGGGGGAAAACCTCAGCAGTTATACAAGACATTTTTTTGGCTTGAATAAGAAAATTTGAATATGGACTGGATCATATTAAAGAATTACTATTAATTTTCTTAAATGCGACAAAGGCATTGTGATTATATTAGAGAATGTCCCGTTTCTTAGAAGATGGTGAAGAATTTAAGGATGAAGTGGCATAATGATACGACTCATTTTCATACAATTTGGCAAAAAAAAAAAATTTGCATACGCATAAAGAGGGAGAGTAAATGTGACATGTTAAGAGTAGTAAATCTTGGTTGAGGACATACCAGTGTTCATTTACTCGTTTAATGTTTCTGTATGTTTGGGAATTTTCAAAATTAAAAAAATGCAGGAGGGAAGGGGGAAATGCTGACAACGAATAAAAATGTTTTCACTCGTTCCCCCCCCCCCGCCCCCCATTCCCCACCAAAGTATCTCAACATGGTAATTGCCAGTCTTCTCCCGTTTCCTTACTGGCACCAAGTCCTTCTGCCTGGTCTTTGTTCTATTTGTGTCTGGAATAGACTTACAAAGCAACACTTTGTGCAGAGGAAAACTGGGCCTAGAGTTTTTTAAAAAAAAAAAAGATCTGTGCACCCCTAGCTGAACAGAAAAGGGATGGTAGCAGAGGATTAGATTGAGTATTTTTTCAGAGAAGAGACGTGCTGCTATTCCAGGGGCCCTGGGCAGGCTGTGAGGAGACCTGGAGTCCAGTGCTGCTTACTCAGGGCCAGCTGCCTCCACCCTGCCTCAGCCTCCTCTGCAGGGAGGACCCTCCCAGCTCTGATGTCCAAAGGCCCTGGAAAAGGCTGAGCACGAGCTTCCAAAGGCAGGGTCCGGCGTGTTGGGGTAGTGGTGAGCAGAGCTGCCTTCCAATGTCAGAGCCTAAAAGAGCCCTTTCCTTGGTCCTCCTCACCTCAGACCATGGCTTTGGAGAAATGAACAGGAAGTCCTTGGTAAGACAGCTTCCTGAGGAACAACTGCTGTGTCTGACAATTAAACGATTCCTCTCTACTTTTCATAGGGAGGTAGAATTCAATACAGTAGTCTGCAAGCGCCTCACCCCGCATCCAGTCCCCACTGCCCCCACCAGTCCAGATCATATCTCCTGGGCTGGGAACCTAGTGGAACTCTTAGGAGGCCTCATCTCCCTGAGGCCAGGGGAGTGTTGTGTTATCTCCCTGATGCCTCTAGCCCTACTTAGCAGATGAAGGGGAGACAATGTCCTGTTCCAAGTGGCAGAGCCAAAATCAAATCTGGGTTCACCTGACTCCGGGACTGCTGCCCCACGTGCCCCACGCCTCCTGCCAGTTTAATATGCCGAGCGCTGTTGGATTGTCTTGTCCCTGCTAGATCCGGCAGCTTTCTGAGCAGGCCCGGTGGGAACCGCCATTGGGTCCACTAAGCTCATTCCAAGACCTTTGCACGTCTCTTCCCTCTGCCTGGGATCCTGCTCCCATAGCATCCCGTGGCCAGCTCCATTTGGGGCACATCTCAAAAAGGCTTTTTCCAACCACCCCATCTGAAATAGCCACGCTCCAGCCCCACACTTTTTCTGGGACACTGTCCTGTTTTATCTTCAGAGCAGTTATCGACTCAAAAGCTATATCATGTACTGATGCTCCTTGACTTATGAGGCAGTTACATCCTGATAAATCCCATCGTAGGTTGAAAATATCGGAAGTCGCAAATGCATTTAGTACACCTAATCTACCGATCATCTCAGCTTAGCCTAGCCTGCCTTCAACATGTTCAGAACACACATTAGCCTACAGCTGGGCATAATCATTTAATACCACTTTCACATCAATCGTAAAGTTGAAAACTTGTAAATCAAACCCATCGTAAGTCAGGAACAGTCTGTACTCCCTTCTCCATTATCTGTCTCCATGAGAATATAAACTCCAAGAGAAAGGCCTCGCCTGTCTTGTTTGTTGCAATAACCCCAGTGCCTACAACAGTGCCTAAAAGGAGGGCTCACAAGTGAATATGGGGACCCAAGACCCCATAGCTGTGTACCCCCTAATCCCAGGATATTTTTGCATCCTGCAACCATATTCAGACTCTTCTTTTGCCGTTTTGCACAGCTTGGCTTATGCCTGTGGAACACCAGAATCCCTCACCTTCTCCAATGCTTACATGTTATTGCTGGGTAGAGCCGCCGTGTGCTGAGATTATGTGGGCCAGCCACCGAGCCATGGGCTTTACGTACAGAAGCCACTAATCTTTGCCAAACTCTGAGGCAGGTCCTGTTTTAGAGATGAGAAGAGACAGAGAGACGAAGCTACTTGCCCTTCATCACACTCCAGGTGTGCCTAACTCTAGTTTTCCTCTGTTAATACACAGTCCTCGATCAAAACGAGCTTCCTCCTCCCTGTGAGTTGATTACTGTGTCTCCCCCTTCAAAGTGTCACAGATGGGGCCGGCCGACTGGCGCGATGGTTAAGAACTGGCTTGGGACGCCAGAGGGCCCCGGTTCGGATCCCACATATGACGGCCAGTGACACTGCCCTCTACAGCTAAGATGCTGAACAACAGCTCAACCTGGAGCTGGGCTGTGGTGAGTTGCCAGCCACGGCGTAGGCTGCAGCCCCTGTGGCAGTGGGTTGCCATGGACTACTGTGTGTAGCCAGCAGCCAGCATGAGCGGCCGTCCAGAAGCCGGCGACTGATCTGCCTCGCCCAGGAAGAGCGCAATGATGGTGCCAACTTGGGCCGGTGAAGCAAAGTCCTCCACAACTAGACTGAAGAACAAAGCAACAGCAACTTGTCTGTTCCCCTTCTCCCAATTCCCCAGTGCTGTTCCCATCCCCCTAATCCCCCCCCAAAAAAAATCTTTCAAAAAAAAGTGTCACAGACGTGCTGCACACACTTGAAGGTTTCCAATAACTGTTCCATCCCAGAGGTTCTTGCTGGTACAAGACAGGCTGCGGCGCAAAGCAAGACAGGGCCAACCCTAACATTGATTTTGGAAAAAGAATCAGAACCAGGCTCTATTCTCATCTGGCAGAGAAAGAAGCCAAAGACTCTTCAGGAGAAAGGCCCAAGACACAGGTGCGAAAAGAAAGGAGTACCAAACCTATTGAGAGAACGGAGAGGAGCCTGCCCTCAGCAGGTAGGTGTCTGTGTTGGGAGTGGGGGTAGGGGAGGGAGATCAGGCTGCAGGAGGGGAGGCCAGAACACCCATATTCAACAATGGAAAACATGTATGTCACAATTCCTGGACTTCACAGTTACTGCTTCTGCCATTGTGCAGCTCCAATGCCAGTCAACTTCTCTGCAAGACATCTTTTACCTGCCCCCACCCTGCCCCAGGTAGAGCTCACAGCTCTTCCCACTGCACTGAGGACCAGGTGCCATGATTTGTTCCTGGCTGTGTCTACCTTCACTGCAGAGCAAGGATGGTCTCTAATCCAGCTTCACACATCGGAGCACTTAGCCCAGGACCCGAGGAGTGTGGGAGGAGCCGGCTCTGGGCATACAATGCTGCAGGCAGCAGCCCTGGGAACCAGGACTCTGTGAAACACATGGTTAAGGAGGGAGAAGCCGAGGACGGACCCAGGGTTCTCAGCTGCAGACAACGTCTCTGACTTCCTTTCTACTGCACAAAGGTGCAGGCAGGACAGGAAACCCCTGTGCCATGTCCCCTTCCAAGAGAAAGAAGAAACGGAGAACCGTGGGTCAGTGCTCTGTGCCCAAAGAGCCCCTGGCAAGAGTGTCCCTGCTGATGCCAGGCACATGCACTGCCCAGGAGTGGGAAGGGAAGGGCAGGGCTGCCCAGGACGTAGGCCCCTGCACAGGCAACCTGGGCATGATGGGATTACAGTGGGAAACAGGGCTCTGCCTCTCTGGCATCTCAATCAGATACCTGGGGACTCTGCGGGTGGGTGTGGATCTTCCAGCGACTGCTCCTGCCCAAATCTAGCTGAGGGGGTGGAGCTGCCCTCTAGGCACAGCCAGAGGAGGGAATTTCATGTGCAGTAAAAGCCTTTTCCTGTGGCAAAAATGGGGTCACTTAGGTTCCCTTTCTATACACTCCTTCTTTTCCTATGTACTGAACTCCCTACTATGTGTGCTGGGAACGTGCACATGAAGCTAAGGGACAAACGGTAACAACTCGGGGAGCGGGCATTCTGAACTTTAAACAATGACCTCACTCCCAGCCCATTTGAGCCTGATGGTACCTTTCCCGTCTCATAGTCCTGGAAAGGGACGTTCAGGGTAAGTGCCTCGCCTAGGAATTCATAAGGCTGGGACTCAAATCCAGGTCCTCTTGCCTGTAAACACTGTGACCCCTTCTGCCCTGTCTAAAGGAGGACAGAGGTCCATTCCATTTTTAATCTATTGCCTTTTCACATGAATAGTGTAGGAGCAGGTTCAAAGATGAAATGAACCCTGACCTCTTCTTAGTGTCCTAAGAGGCTCCTGAAGTAGACGGGGCGGGAAAGTGACAGACAAGGTAGGAATGGGGGCAGGGGGCAGCGGATCTGGTTGTCTAGAGGCAAAAGTTCTGGATCCAAGTCCCAGCTTGAGAGGAAAGAGGTGAAGCAAACCCAGATGCGGTCACTGTGGATTGTTCATCTTTGTGCCTGGGCCCAGCTCAGAGCCATGGAGATGCTGAGTAAATGTGTGATGAAATAGTAAAGATGAAAAGTCCCCAGTGGGGAAAGTTCTGCAGTGGTTAGAGTCTGCTGTGAAAAGAATAGATGCACTCTTGGGACACGGGTGAGGATTCATTTTGCCCACAGCAAGGTAAAGACCAGAGAAGTTCCAGAAGACCAGAGGGGAAAAGATCCGAGGTGGACTAGGAGGGGAGGGCGGGAGGGATGAGAGGGGGAAGGTGGGCTGGGAGGACTATGATGATAGAGCCTTAGTTTCGGCCCAAGGGCTACTGCTTGGGCAGGTTTTTAAACCTAAGAGCAATTAGAGATGTCTACAGGGCTGATCCCAGGCTCCGATAAATGAGGTAACAGGTATAATGTGCTTTGTGAGCTGCAAAAATTAAACAACTTTTATTCTGACCTGCAAGGCCAAATTCTAACTTCTGCAGAAGGCTCAAATGGCAATTATCCTTGCCCCTCAGTAGGTCATCCTTCTGGGGAAGAGGCGGTCCGGACTTAAGGGTCTTCTCTTCTTCAGAAACAGGAAAATTCCCTACTGGGGCTCTGAATTGTCCCAAGAAGGTCTTCCTAGACTTCCGGCCTCTGGTGAGGATATGACTGCGTGGTGATTGGCTCAACAGTGCATTAAAGTGCTGCTGGGAATGTGACCTCTATGTGCGGGTAAGTCCCACCTCGAACTCGCATGGCCCATAAATACTGTCACTCCCCAAACTCGGATTAAGAAATCCTTGTCCCAAGAGGCAAAGCCACCTGTTCGACTGCTTAAAAAAAAAAACACTCTCTTGATTCCTAGCCTGTTCCTGCGTCTCTTCTCAAGTCCCCTGCTCATACACCCTGTACTTCCCATGGCCTTTGTCCAACCTGGTTCCAGACAGCAGGTGGGGGCGAATCCAGTGGCTCCCTCTACCAGTATTCAACTCTATCCCCAGTTAGTACATTTCATTCCCTAAAAGTCTGTCTTAGCAGGAAGCTTCTGGGATAGGGGCTGTGCAAGATGAGGGAAGGGCATTCCTGGCCGGATTTAAAACAGAGGACCATTGAACTGAACGTCCCAGAGTAACCTCGGCTGCAGCTGGACCTGTTGCCAAGCCAGTTTAGTGCTGCTAAATCCACACGGCTCACGGCGCCTCTCGACCTGGGCTTTGCAAACGCCAGCCCTTTCGCCTTCCACCAGTTCCCCACCCGGGTCCCCAAGAAGACCAACCCATGAGGGTGGGTCCTGGGAGTCTTTGAGGGCGTGGGAACAGGAGCTCCCAGGCGGTCTCTCCTCGGTAGCCATTGCGGACCTCCTTAGACCACACTCCAGGCAGGAGCTAGCCCAGGCAGGGGACGAGCTTTCTTCCCCCGCCCCCGAGTCTGGCTGGAAGGTGAGGGACGCGCTCCGAGTCCCACACCTGATTCCTCTCCTCCTCCTTTTCTCAGCACCCAGGAGCAGCCATCTTCCACGCTAGAGGCGCCAAAGCCCTAGGGCCCGAGCGCCCCCTTTGGGGCGTCCTTGGCTTCGGGTGAACCCGGCGGAAGAAGTGAACGCGTGAGTCCCTGTGCGCGCGGTAGATCCTGTACGGTTCTCCACCGCTCGGATCTCCACCGCGGCGCTGCTTCCCGGGGTCCAAAATCCGACCCCCATGGCAGGTTGGCCCAGCTGTGCCATGGGACGAGGATTCAGGGCAGGGGATGAGCGCAGCAGACACTTTCCTTCTCTCCTGGGCGCCCCAAGCTCCATTCATTGCTGGAGGTTTGGCGCCCTGGGACCCATGGCTTCTGACTCCCGCCTCCAGCAGAGAAAGGTGGCGGGAGAACCCTCAGACCCTTACCGTAGCATCTTCCCCTGCGTAGTGCCCGATGACCCGGCGGCCCCCCGGGTGCCGATTGGACCATTTGGTGATGTTGTAGACCTTGCGATCGATGACGAGCCACTGGTCGGTGCGCAGGTTGTGCTTCTGAATCTCCTCCCAGCTGAAGGTGGGCATCGGCGCTTCGCGCTCGGCAGCCCCTTCGCCCTGGTTTCCCCCCTTCCCCATGCTGCCTGCTGACGGGGATCCTGGTGTACCGCGGCCTCCCGGTGCCGGTTGCCCGAGTGTGCGGCCGGGCCCTCCACGCCTACGGCTTTTGTCTTCTCCTACTCCTCCTCCCACCGCGCCTCCTCCCCCAGCCTCCTCGCCTGGGCTCAGGAGTATCCCAGCCAAATAGCCTTAGGAATATCCCTGGCTTCCCAGTGGCCCCAAGCAGTCCCCTTCTTCCGCCCCGCCCTCCGCCCGCCAGCCCGCGATGGACTTTTGCCACCAGTAAAAACTCTCGGGTGCTCAGAGCCCAGACACCTCCTCCGCCCGCCCCTCGGACTCCCCCCGCCCCCAGCTCCGCATCCTCCCGCGTTCCCCGCCGCCCGGGTTTCCACAGTGATCAGCAGAGCGCCTGCACCAATCCGGGCACGTCGCCCCGCCTGCCATTGGCCCAGGAGGATCTTTCGAAGGCCAGCGGGCTGGAGCGGCGGTCTCCGGCTCCCCCGCCCGCCGGGCCGCGCGGATTCTAGCCCTGCCACAAGGCCCGCTACGTGTCCAATCTCCTCCCTCCTCCCGCCCCGCCCAGGGCACGGGAGGTCCCTGAGGGGCCCCGCGGTCGAACGGGGGAGGGGGGTGGCTGTTAGGCTCCGCGCGCTCCGTGGCGCGCCCCCGGCGTTTGCACCTGATGCCGGCACAAAGAGGGCTCCGCCGCGCGGCGGCGCGGGGCGCCGCGGTCCGGACCGGCGGGCTGACCGGCGGGGCCGAGCCTCCAGGCTGGCCCGCTGCGCTCCGGGACGGGCTTGGCTAGGTGAAGCCCTTCCCCAGCTCGCTGGAATCGGGACTTCGATATCTCCACATTGTCCGCGCTGCCCATCCACATTGGCGCCTTCCTGCAGCCTCCCTGGAGGAACGAACTGGCCTCGGGCTTGTTTAGGGCTCTGAACCCTTTAATCAGACGATCTTAGAAAAGAACCTCTGCTCTGCTTCCTTCTGCTAAGAGCCTTGGGGGGCGAGGGGTGAGGAGGGTGGTGCTCTTTGTAACTAGAAAAGCATTTCAAGGTGAGGTTAGAGTTCCTGGCAGCGTCCTACTTGTCCGATGAACAAGACACTGTCCTTGCCCTGGACTCCGCAAGCTCACAGCCTAGTTGGGAGACGTAACATGGAAGCGTGACAGGACTACACACGATTAATTGAGCACTGGTGGTGTACAGACTCCAGGAAATAAAGATGGGGTATCAAAAGGACAGGTGGAGCGGTAGGCCCCCAGACCCCAGCGGGATGGACCTGCTTAGAATCAGAGCCCCGAGGAAAAGGCTGGCCGAGAGACCTGGTCTGGAAGGCTGACTAAGGACAAGTGGGAAGTAAGGATGAACAGAGGGAGGTGGGGAGGCGGAAGGCAAAACTTGAGAATCAGGAGTTAATAAGAGGCCTTCAGATTTCAATGGGATGATTTCCAGGTCCCTGGGTGTTAACACACTCTCATCAGCTTCTCTCCCAACCCTGTAAGGTAAACAGGATCCATATTGTTATACGTAAACATGGTTTAAGATGAAATTGCCAAGTGCACATGGTTAGCAGCAAGTGGCACAGCAGGATCGTGTCCCGACACCACACTGCCTCTCTCCTAATGAGGCCAGTGGAAAGGAACCATTGTAGAAACTTTGCTGGGGAGCAGTTTGATGCAGCAGGGGTGGGAAGCTCACGACGGCCAACTGGTGAGGAAGGAGGCAGTGGGTGGGGGGAGCCCCTTCATGCCATTCCCACAGTGGTTGGCCTCCTCTCTAGCACTATCATCAGGGTGCTGTCAGTCAGGTCCTTCATTCATGCCGCAGACTCCAGGCAGGAAGAGAACAAGGCCTCTGGCTTTGAAGAGTAGGAACAGACATCCAAACCAAAAGCCTTGCTCACAAGATAAGAGGATGAAGCAAATGCAAGGGAGAGCACACTGACTCTTATGCCTGTTCAACGTTTACTGACACAGGAACCGAGATTGTGATTTTTTTTTCCAAAAAAGATGAACACAGTAGATTAATAACTTTAATAAAAAAATTTCAAAGGTCCTGGAGCTGGGAGGAAGACGTGCTACCTGAAAGAGCGATCCCAGGGACTATCTCATGGAGGGGCTTCACAGGCTGAGAAAAGGGCACGTGAGAAAGCCCTAAAAGGCAGCAAGTGTATTTGGGGTGGGCAAGAAGTGTGGACCGGCCAGGGTGTGGGGTTCCCAGCAGATTCCAACATAGCACTACCCAGAGTAGGACCTGAAAAACATTTGCTAAAGACACAAATGAATGAACGAATAATAAAACAAGGAATGGCTCCAGTGAGGGTTCTGGTGAAACCTGCTACAGGCACAGCTTGAGCTGGGAAAAGCCTCGTATGCTTTGGGTAAAGATGGAGGACTTCATCCTGGTAGAGGTAGGAAAATTCATAAAGCTGGAATGTGCTATGACTAGATCTATGGTACAGAAGGAGAACTCGAGGCGTGCTGGAGCTTGGATGGGATGTAGGGGAGAAACCCTGGAAGCAGCAAGATCAGCTCAGTGGCCACTGCACTGCTCAAGGAGAGAGACCAGGAGGGAGCCTGAACTAACAGAACTTTAGAAGGCTAGAGCCCACAGCAGACACTGCCGTGCCCCCATCTGCCCCATTCCTACTCTATTATTTATTGCTGTCACTACTAGGACGGACTGATGAGAATGTTCCCTTAGAGAAAACCCTATGGTACCCAGCTGACCCCAGAGTCACTTAAGAAAAGGGTGATCTCAGAGAAAGACGTGGTTCCCATGGCCTCCTCCTGGCCCACAGAAGCCCTCCCCACTACCTACAGCAGTACCAAGTACTGCGGCTTCCTGGAGATCCTGCCAGGAACTAGTTGTCATCATTACACTTTATCAGAGAAAAAAGAGAGCAGCCTGGGTGGCTTGGAGCCCACATCTTCTCTGCCAGCCAAGTAGGTGAAAGGCTGGGCAGAGTAGAAAGAAAGGGCCTGGAGGGGTGGAGTCTGTGCCACCAGTCCCTACAGAACAGCTGAGGGGGGCTTTCCATTTTACCTAACAAGGAGTCTCTGATGTCTGCTGGTAGACTGGCAGGGTCACAGAAGCAAAGAGACTGGTTAATCAGAAGGAAAGGGAGAGTGAAAGTGAAAGACCACCCAAAGAGGGAATACGCGGTATGACAATTAAGTTCACGAACTTGTGGCAATGGTGTTGTTAATCTTTTTTTGATATCAGAGGGATTATTCATTATGAATTTGTACCAACTGGACAGTTAACCAAGTTTATTATTTGGAAGTGCTCAAGAGGCTGCATGAAAAAGTTAGACGACCTGAACTTTGCTCCAATAATTCATGGCTCTTGCATCACGACAATGCACCAGCTCACATGGCACTGTCCATGAGGGAGCATTTAGCCAGTAAACAAATAATTGTATTGGAACACCTTCCCTACTCACCTGATCTGGCCTCCAATGACTTCTTTCTTTACCCGAAGATAAAAGACATATTGAAAGAAAGACATTTTGATGACATTCAGGACATTGAGGGTAGTACAACGACAGCTCTGATGGCCATTCCAGAAAAAGAGTTCCAAAATTGCTTTGAAGGGTGGACTAGGCCCTGGCGTCAGTACATAGCTCTCCAAGGGGAGGACTTCAAAGGTGACCATAGTGATATTCAGCAATGAGGTAGGTAGCACTTTTTCTAGGATGAGTTCGCAAACTTAATTGTCCAACCTTGTATGATTCTGACAAAGCACCTCACAGTCAGAGGACCAGCTGGCCAAGCAGACCACTCTTCCTGGCTCCTTCTGTCTCTTCCTTTCCTTGGCTGATAAATATGGCCAAATCACTCCTAATATTTAAAAAAATCTTCAAAGTCGACTTTTTCTCAAGCCATGGCCCCTATCTTTGATAGTCCATTTATGCCCGAATTTTGTGAATGAGTAGTCAACCCTCTCTGGATCTACTTTCTGTTTCCCATTCATTTCTCTGACCATTACAGTCTTCTCCAATTCTGATAGGTTAAGGTGTGCAAAGGAGTCTCAAACAGTGGACAACACCTATAGAGTAAGGATTCAGTAGATGGTGGTTCTTATCCTTCCCCCTCCTGACCTTACCCCTCACATCAAAGCCAAAGGTAGGTATTGTTACTTCACTTTTGCAGGTGAGGACACAAATGGTCAGGGAGATAACAGGTTCGGCCCAGCAGAAATACTGAGTTCTAGAATGCAAAGTAGACTGACTTCCAGATCCTGTTCCTATCAAGCCTCCTAAAACTCTCTCTGAAAGATCACTGTCAAGTCCAGCGCCCCTTCTCAGCCCTCTTAGAGGCATCTGGCAAGCCAACATGCCTTCCTCTCACAATGCCATGCTCCCTTGCTTCTTTGACGGTACACAATCCGATTCTACTGTTTTGTGTCTCCATTTGTTTCTCCTCCTCCCCCTAAATGTTCTTGGCCTTGGCTCACTCAACATTTTCTCCTTTAGGGACCGCATTTGGGATGACTCTGTATCTCGAATCTACACCCACTCACCTCTTACTCATGCAAAGCTGAATGTCCCACTAGCACCCCAAACTCAATGTCACCTCCTCGAGTCAAGGGACAGGTCTCGGCACATGTGTTCTTTGGGTCTATCCAGGTGTAACCGTCACCGCTTTTGGTGCAAAACTGAATTGGTCATCTTCCTTTCCTGTGAAAAGAGAATCAGCTCTTCCTGTGAACTTCTTCATTTCTATTAATGGCACCACTCTTCTTCCTGTCACTGTGTCAGAATTTCAGAACGATTTTTACTTCTCTTGTCTCCCACCCTTGCAAAAATAAGTTGCTGTGTTCAACAGATTCTACCTCCGACAGTGTTTTCCATCTGCTCCTTTTATTCCGTTGCCACCGCTACTGCCCTGGTGGAGGGTCCTAACATTCAGCTGTTGCAGACACTGTTGTGATGTCATTTTGCTGAGCTGCTGAGCCCAGGTCTTACTGGGACTTCGGCCCATGGTTTCTCGTAGCCTAGTGAATTAAGCAGGGATAGAGCGAAGAAGGGAAGCATGTACATAGTAATGATGTTCCCTGAAGACATTGGCCTTGCCCTCAACTCCAAACCAAATGGCTAAAACTCTATGGGATGTCATCAGAGGATACTATGG